CCTTTGATGCCCAAGATGTTCTTGGTGAATAGAATGTTACCTGAATTCCTCCTGATCATGTAAAAGATATGCTTCATGAGAGCAAATGACACATTCTTTGAGTAGAATAGATGTCATGCCCTTCAATTCTTTTCCAACACAGGGTATGGTTAATGAATTGGTTCAACTCCTAACATATATTGCATTGACTTCACCATGAATGGCCACCTTGCCTTGTTTCAAGTGTTCAACTAAGTTGAAGATCCTTGAAGGTAGGCGAATTGGATATGACCTACCCTAAACAATCATACTTTTTTCTACTACATAGTCTAGATTCAAGATTTTATGATTGAGAATATCTTTAGGTATGACTTGAGCACAAGTGATTAACATGATGTCACATCGACAAAGAAGAATAAGACATGACATTTTATAGGTCATGATCTGAAGCCTCTCAAGTCAAACACTAATTATTTGTTTAGATGATAAAATCAATTACCGTGATTTCTGTACCGAAACGATTTCCCTAATACATCATTTTTGTTTATTAAAATATTTCAAGTTCAAAAAATCATTAATTATCTTTTTTTTTTATTCAACAGAGATGCTACTTTCCACCTAACAGTTCATGATTGGTAGACAAGAACTAGTGTTGACTCTTCTCCTTGGATGTTCCTTTCAAGCCAACCATACAGCACATCATGTAGATTAAACTACAGGAATGTGCACGACTTGTGTTTTCTTTGTTCTAATCATGAGCATAGTCAAATGTCTTTCGCTGGGACCATCTTATCATCAATGCAAATTGTTCTATTTTATTTTTGGTTTGGTAATACCTGATCTATAAACCAAAAGAACATATGAGTACAACTAGATTTCCTTTTTCTTCAGTGGTTTTTTTTTTATCCATCCTCTTTGTTCTTTTCTCAAAACCTTTCATCAGAAATCATGTTTGATGTTGCAACAAGAAGGATGGTGATGAATGAACATTGTGTAATGAGACAAATTGCATGTCTGCAAACAAGACATGGTAGGTAAGGAAAAGCTTTCAAATGTTAGAAACTGTGGTCCAAAGATTGATGATAAAGCTTTGATTTAGTGGATGGGGCTTCTCATCTGTAGAGTGATCAAATTAGCCTTCTATCATGGAAAACAATGGTAGATTTCAGTTGCTTTCAATGGAAAAGAAGACTTAATTCCAACAAATTATCACTGTTTGGTCAAACCATTATTGCACTTTCCTTCTTCTCTCCCATGTTCTTGTGGCCCATAGATAGCTGTTCTACAAGATTGGTGTTTTGTGTCCTAATAAGAGAAAGATAGAAATAGGTATAATAATGTGTGTGTGTGTGTGTGTGTCTATATATATATATATATATATATATATATATATATATA